GAGTACAGTGACCTCAGTAGGTTAACGTAGTTCTGGGGCATTCCCTTTCGATTGAGGGAACTCATCTGAGCTTCGCGGTCAACTGAGTTGAAGACTCCTTTCAAGTCAAGAGACATTGCGATCATTGGCTGACGGTGGTTGTGATGCAACTCAAGGACCTGACGCCACGTAAAGATGTGATGNNNTTTGGTGACGATTGGGATCAAACTTATCCCGCGGTGGTTTACGCAGTCATTGCGAGATCGCCGGTATCTGTTCTTTGACGAGGCAGGGCACAACGACCGTCTAGACAAGCTTCCCGATGCGCTCACTTTTCCAAACATTGGGATAAAATCACCGGCGAGCAAAATCTCGGTATTATCGTTGGGGCTTAAGCAGGAGTCGCTCGTGTCATTGATTACCTCTAGCCCGTAGGCAACATAAAACTGTGACATTAGTTCTTCTGTGAACTGCAGTGGGAGTGGGGTGGGGGTTAACACTGTGCCATCATGGGAATATGGACAGGGCAACATCTCGATGTGTGTCTTCCGAAAACGCAGAGCTGACTCGTTCAGCCAGACCAAAGGCATTTTCCCTTGTCCGCTAAATCTATCTCGCAACGATTGACACCGTGTTTCACAGTGACTGCTCAAATCCGAACACTAGGCTTTCCGCACCAGATTCAGAGACCATTCGGGAGGGTGTGAATGGGTCTGTGAGGTTTGATCATAGTTGATACCGTTTCATCGGGTAAAAGTACAAGTGGTCAGTAGCCGAAATGTCGACTCAGTCGCGGGTTTTGGGCTCAGTGAGTCACCTGGTGGATTCGGAGAATTTGATACCCAAATGGAAAATAGGCAGATAGGTGTTAATCTGAATGGAAAATGACAGAAATCAGACAAAAGTTCAAAAAAAAACAAATGAAAACAATATACCTGATAGTGTTGATCTGTTGGTGTTGCAGATAAAATGGACTCAATAGACCACAAACAGGTCATTCCCAAGAAATGTTTGACAAGCCACTGTGACATCTGGGATGGGGATTTAAGATGCGAGTCATCCAGAACCTTATCGTGCAGGTACTTTGTCAACGAATCCAACTGGTTCAGAACAAATGAGACGCGCTGTTCGATTATGAAAGACAGTGAATCTTCAAAATTCGGATCAGAATCATCGAAGACAGATAGATCAGTAACCATTCTTGTCACAATATCCATACGGGTCCGAGCAAACCACGAAGCCCATTCATCCGAGGCAATAAGCTCTTCCGCTATTACTGCTGAATCGTGCAACACTTGATCATCGGTTTTAGAAGTGGTTGCGCCTTGCGAAAATGGATTTGCGAAATTGTACATGATACAAGAGATGGCTTGGCAAGCGATTTCAGTGCGGTCTTCTTCCCCGTGTTCCACGTATGACATGTCGATCAGAGAGTACCTTGAACCAAGAGGTGAAAAACAAAAGGGAATGAATAAGCTATACTGAAACCAACGAGATGAAGATGTGGCACAGATGATCTGCGGATCCCTCACGTTATACCTTTGTGAAACCATCTACTTATTTTCCATTGAACAAATCATAGAATGAGAAACGCTACGAAAATTCCTTTTGGGAAATGGTGATACTAAACGTTATACACTATAAAGGGAAACATTATGCACCTAATCTTTTGGGTGTGCTCAATGGCCTAGGGATGAATCACCGAGCTTGACTTGTACGATGCTTGTTAATAAAAGAATTTACCTGACATAGGTTTATATCCATGGTTATTTGATCAAAGACTCTTCTTATCGGACTGATGAAAAGAGGGTTCGTTTGAGACGGACCAGAGTATGAATTAGTAAAAACCAATTAGAGAACGCCAACAACGAGCACATACATGCATTAGGCCCGTGTGAATATCAAGCTCGATACAGGGCGTACACTCCATACAAAAGACCGCGGTGGACGGCATAGATTACTGATCTTCAAGTGAAAAGTAACTGCCATTGTGAGAATTGTCGTGATGCCATAGGGGAAAATTTCCTTCTGTACAGAATCCAAGCACCAAGGACTTTATTCAAGCGTCATTTGCGCAACTGGATATCGATTAGACAAATTTGAACAAAAGCAGGACCAGATGCGAGATTAATGGACAGACAAAGGAATGAGCATGAAGAAATTCGAAGGGTGATAAGTTATACTAAACATCTACTTTCTAGTAAAATATTGATAGCAGTGTACGGCTATCTCATCTGGGACGATTCCCATTCATGGGGAAACAGCTGTACCAGTTTTCAGTGGTTTGACACGTTAGCATCCTATGATGAACCACCCTGAAGCATTCAGCATGACTATCTCAATTAGAAGTTTTTACCAAGGCTGATTGCTCACAAATGCAAAAAACGATTAGTTGAACTTCTCAAATGGAATATACTTGCTTTCATTACTGTGCTTCACAGATGAAAAGGACACAAGAAAAAACAAACCTAGTCATTATTTCGTGAACTCGTGCCACACTGGCGAGACGATCCAAACGAGATAACTGCGGGATGTGAGCAGCATATTTGATGTGATCTGATTCGGAAACACATTCATCGGCTTGCGATGAAACAGAGAGAAGTTTGTTTTGTCGAGCGTGATTCAAAATCTTATTCACTAAGTTCAACAACTCCTTTGGCCATGGCAAAGGCACCAGGGAAGCAAGCTTTGTGACCACCTTGATACGACACAAGGGAACAGTCATCCAATCTGCGACCACGCAAGCCTGTAACACCAATGTTTTAGGGTCCTGAACGACAGAGTGTGTTTTCGTAGCAGGAGGAATTTCGGTAGACGACAAAGCAGATGTGTCCAGAACACTAGCCGACTGTTCCATTGCTAATTTGATCCGACGACACAAATCCAACGCGTATCCTTGGTAAAACGTTTCTAAATCGATGTTCCGATCCTAGAAAGGATAAAACAAAAGGAAGATAAACTATGGTATCAATCATTCCGGAAAAAACAGAATAAGTATTTTGACTGACCAGTAAGAACGAGAGATAATTTGTACTTGCAACCAAACGATTGCTAACTAAACGCGAGTCTACAATGATTCTTCCCATAAGGCACAATGGTGGTAACTTGGAGAAAACCATTCTGTGCTCCCGTTAGGGTAATTGTAAAAACCCTTATTCTCGATGACACTCTTTGATTATCGAATGACCACCTGGCAATTAGAAACAACCATGTAAGCAGTGGAGGAAGTAGAAACTGTGGAACACAATACCTTTTTTCTTAAAACTGGCAAACCTGAACGGACGAAAACTGACAGAAACGTTTCACACGATTGAGAAGGAACAAAAGGCTCCGAGATGCGTGGACGAATTTTGGCAGGTTGATTATATTTTCTAGTTGATTTAAAAGAATGCGATTGTTTCGTGTCAGAAAAAAATAAAGATTTAAACTATCTATTGTAATTTATTTTCATACACAATCCTCAGTTCATCCAGTCAACCAGACACACGGAAGCGCTAGACTCGGGTAATGCTCATATTAGAGCTCATCAGTGGTGCATATCCACCATCCCGTCCGGGCTTCGAACTCTAGACCCATCGCATGGAAGGTGTGTGATACCACTGCGTCACCTAGCTCATACTATAGCTGAACGGAATTCCAAATTCATTTTCGTTCAGGTGTCGTCTTCAATGATGGTGAGTCAGATCATTTAGGCCTGAAAGTAACGAAGGGAGACGCAGATGACCGTAACTCCAATCAAAATCCACCCATCGAGTCAGGACTTCCATGCAGGTTACAGGTTGACTTGCCACAAACCTACCAGGCTCGACAGATTGAGGAAAGATAGTAGTAACATCCAAATTAAGGCAACCATGAGACAAAGTGAAACTGATCGTCATTTTAGCTTCCCCCTTCCATGCATGCCAGGTTCTTCGACGGAAAAACTATCTTATAATTGTATGGTGAAGCACTTGGTGTACAGAGAATCAGAAGCGCAAACTCAAAGGCTGAGAAGCACTGTACAGTTATTTCGATCTGATTCGGTCTCATCTGCAGCGCGGATGCATCGACACGATCGAGGATCGGATGAAGGACGTGACAGTAAGAACGTAAGCACACTACCCAATCGATAACTGAGCAGCTGATAAAACCATTTCTGACCATGCTTATACACTATCATCCCAGCGGGCTTATAATCACCGGAACACA